AAAAATATTATAAAAACGGCTCTCAAACCAAAATTAAAAAAACTAGCCTATATTGATGGTTGACTTTAACAGTATTGTCCTCTTCAATTCCCGTATTCACCAGCTCACACCTCACAATAAGTTTTGAAGTTGTGCTCTGGATAAATTCAATTATAAGTACTTGGAAATATAGATATACTCGTACACATCTTATAAGTGCTCTGGACTTGGTTAATTTCAAAATAGACTATTGCTTAAAATAAGGTCCTGTCCATAATCAATGACCCATCTTATAAAATATTAAGGTTATAAACCTCTAATTGTTGGCCATAATATTTCAAGTGTACACACTCTCTACAGATGTTTCTGCTCTCGAGGTACTTTTACAAAGGAGGTTGATATAGGACGAGTATGGATTACTTTCCTACAAGTAGTGAGCCCGGTTTAGGAATACTGGCAGCAGCAACAATAGACTTATAGGGCTGGATTTGGTTGGATTTTGTGGCTGTATTTAAAAAATAGGAGTATAAGGGTTTGTAAAAAAGTAGGGCTTTGGGAACGAAAATACAAGTGTTTAGGGGCTGTCGAGTGGCTGTTCTAAGCACTGTGAACAATGACATGAACAGTAATCTTACCCTCACAAGGCATAGGCCAATCACACACATACAATCTCAAATTTTCATAATAATAACTCTTCTATTGAATCATTGAGATTACGCATATATTTATAGGCTAAAGACTCTCCTAATTCTATAAGGACTAGGAAAATGAGTGAAAGCACTAATTAGTGCCATCACTAATAATGTGACAGTGGATCTCACCCACTGCCACAGTGTGTGTTGTGTCTGTGTTTTTTTTTTTTCCTTTTCCACCTCATTAGTAGTGGTTAAAGCCACCAAATTAGAGGTCTCTAACATGACTGTAAGGACTACTACTCAAATTTAGAAACTAAAAATATTTAGCAACTACTAATATTCTAGATCAACTATGACTTCTAATTCTACTTTAATCATAATAGAAAACTTTAATGACTTCTAATTCTACTTCAATATCAAAATAAGAAATTTAGACTTTTTGCCACTAAGATTATTTTAGACATAATAAAACCCATATATAATAACTTATTTAATAACTTGACCCAAAATAAAACACACGAGTGACCCCTACAACCCATGTCCAACAATTATTGGATTTACCATTGTACCCTTAATTACTAAAACCTACTATAATGACATGAAGACTCAAAATTATTCCTAAATCTTTAATTCTTGATGCCTTAAATGTGCTTTACGTGAAATTCCAGATTTGCTCTTTTTCCTCTTTCCATGATCTTCATCAGAGGCTCTCACTCGTGTTCACTCTCTGCAAATTGGTTGGTTATTGTATAAATGTCGTATACAGTGCATAAGGCTCCCACTTATAGCAAGGTCAGGAAATGTAGTAAGTGGGCTATCTTACTGCCACTTTTTTATGTAATGTATATTTGTGATAGTTTGATAACTAGTTATCAAACATGATTTGGTACCATATAAAAAAGAAAAGGGTAAATTACACAGACCTCCCTTCACAATTACAAGGACCTCTCTTAAGTCGTGGCAAACCATTTCACAACCATGAATCTTTGCAGCGAATCCAACAATTTGAGGCCAAGCCATATTTACATCTAAATGCTCCAAGTACTTTGAAGCCACTTGGTCTGCATTACTCTCTTCCTAAAGATATTTACTTGATCGAATTATTTGATTGAAATTTTGATTCCCCTGAAACCAAAGTAAATTCATAAGCATTGTTTGTACCGCTTTGATTCCCCTGAAACCAAAGTAAATTCATAAGCATTGTTTGTACCGCTTTTGTGAGGCCACAAGAAAAAAAAGTTAGGAATGAAAGAAAGTGAGGCCAAGTAAAACAAAACAGTCACATTGACCTTATTCTCTGGAATTACGTAGAAAGCATAGGGGCATTTTTTTCTTTTTGGTTCACTGGGTGTTGGAACAGCTACAGTAGAGGGCTAGATGCTTCCCTGGAACTTTGCCCTCTTCTTCAAAGTATATTGAATCTCCCAAACTTGGGAGTTCTACTCAATTCCTAAAGAGGCCAGGAAAAATTAACCATCACATTGATAGAACACCAAGAAAAAGGAATAATCAGCCACAAGTACACTTTAGCAATTGTGTAAAGGTAGAAGAACAGCAAGCTCATTTAAAGTTTCAAGACCACAATTAAAGAAAGAAAATCTTGTTACACATGTAAAAGGTGAGCAGTCTAATCAAATGTTCTCAATCAAAACTTCCCAGTAATAAGATAACAAATCATCCGTTATACGATGCATAAAAGGGCTACTGAATTCTACATGTCAAGAAAATGAAAATTCTAAACTGGAACAGCCAATTTTAAAAATGCCTAAGTTTCATTAAGAAGAGATTTCTGTAGAGAAGTTAAAAATGATAAAAATTTGGTTTTCTTATAAATAAAATAAAAATTAAAAAAACAGAAGAAAAAGAAAAGATGTTTACAAAGAAGTATTGAGGTTTCAAGCTCACCTGTCCCATAGCAGCATCAAGAAGAATTGAACTTTGTTCCCTGTCCATGGCAGCCTTGGCCCTTAGAAATCTCCATGGCATTTGGCTCCAGACTACCATTTGTGATGGTTCTCTCATTATAGTCCATGTATGCTATTTCTTTGGTCAAACTAAACAAACCTACAATAAAGCACGTCAATGCATGCTTGATTACACAGGGACACAGAATTAGAAAATAATATGGAAATTTTAGGGTCACTTCCAGATAGAAAGTATCCAACCAACCACTACAGGTTAGCTTCAAGAATAATAAAAATCTAATGAAGTGTTGCAGTAATATAGACATGCATTTATTTTTCTACTACTAGATTATGCACGGAAGTGTTAGATAGCTTAGTATACATTGTTGGGCCCATTTCTTAACAGTTTAGGCTTTAGGGAAAATTGGTGACTAAATAGAAACACACAATTACTTGGAACTCTTCCAGTTCACCAACTTGTGCCAGTGTAGCATGTATTCTCCTGAAACCCTAGATTAACACGGCCCTTGCATTTCCCATAATTTCTTCGAATATGTACATTGAAAGATCATCAAAATTATTTCCACATCATCTCCTTTCAGTTCTTCAGCAAATAAATCTTGTGTTTATACTAACCCCTCAAAAAAATCTTGTGTTTATGATGTCCTCACTTTATTACCTTCTTATGTCATATTTTACTTTCCCGTAATTCAAATTGCTTTTGACATCATAATTCTCTCAAATGCAATATTAATATATATATATATATATAAGGATATTAATAGAACTTGGGAACCAAGCTTAGCTCATCTGGTTATGGATAACTCATCAATCAGAGATATTTCTGTACAAGCAAGATAATTGGGAACTGGAAGAAGCATGCATATATCACATGATATTGAGAAATTAAATTCACAAGGGGAATGAAAGAATCTAAAAAGGTATATGCCAATGAAATTCAGTAAATGAGTAATCAATCAAAATTAGACAACTGTACTGGACTTCACAAATACATCATTGTTACCTCTACATATATGTGAATTATAATTCAACTTTTTCCCAGGGTTCTCTGAGAAATATCTTCAAACACCTCACGTGCAACATTTTGTTATTTGCGGTCACAAATAAGAAAAGGAGGAACAATGAGTTCGAGGGGAAATGTTTATCAGCTGTATCAGTGGAAGTTAAAAGTGAAATGACTGAATCTAAAAACTAAGATAAGTATGGTTTTGCACAGAGGGGTAAAAAATAAAAAATACTACCAATGAAATTAGAATAATGACAAGAAACAATAAATAAATAAATAAATAAATAAAATAAACAGGGGAAGGATAGGTGTACGGACCTAAGGATGTTTCAAGCAAAACAAGCCAAGTGCCCCTTTTCCTTCGTAGTTGGGCGAATAAGTCTTCTCTCTCGCTCATATCATCATCCTTATATCGATATTTCATCGATTGGTGATCACAAACCAGTAGAACTATCGAAACACCTTTTTTTTCCCTGTTGATTTAAAATGAATGGTAGATTGTGCTTGGATTAGAAGGGTTTGGAATAAACTGAAGTTTCCAGTCTAGAGAGAATGCAATACCTCTCACAGCGGCCAGTTGTTTTTGGGAAGCAACCAAGGAAGACTCTAATTACTACAGAGCTGGATGCTGGGATGTGTGGAAATTTTTTCACATCCACAGTTGTCTCTCTGTATTTGATCTTCAATTGATAAGGAGAGCATACAAGTCTCTCATGTTGCACAGAATGAATGCCACCAACTGCATTTGGCAAGACCATGTGGCTCCAGGAATGCATTAAAACAACTGGAAAAGGTTGTGTGGTGGACTAGGTAATTTGTGTCAAAATTCAATTTCAAAATAATAAAAATAAAAATATTTAGTTGCTAAAATCACGGCATCACAATTTAAGACACGTTCTCTACTATTGACTCCATATTGTGACAACATTTTGAGAGGCAGTTTCCCCTTATTGCAAACAAAACAGTGAGGAAGGAAAGCACATAGTGACTCGATCACACTGTTTCAATCCCAACCCATCCAACATTTATTGACTCATAGTGATAAATGATTTACTTGTGAATCACATCAAACAGCTAAACCCTTAGAGCCGAGGAAATTGGAAAACCAAACATCCTTGATCTAATTAAAACATTCAGACTTGAGATAAATTCCAGAAAGGACCCAACAGCCAAACATACTGACATTGAAAATGGCATAAAGATCCTGGTACCCAGATAGACAGCCAGTTATACAACCAATATGACTAAATAAAAACAACAATATAGTTAACAACCAGGAAACCAAGGGCAGAGAAAAAAAAGCAATTGCCTTCCCTCTGACATAAATCAAGATATTTCGAGCATTATGGAAGATTTACATAAGCTGATCATTCACGAAATTACCAAATATCACAATCGGAAAATATTTCATAAATTTATTTGAAGGAAGGGCTTGTACATAAAAGCAATTAAGCATAAATTTCAAATTCAGAGGTTCATTCAACATTGTGCTAAAGATTACAACTATATCTCGAAAATGAACCCTCCAACCAGCACCTACAAATCCACCTACTCACCCACCCCACCTAAAAATATCAAAAGAAAAGAAGGAAAAAGATGAAAAAAACAAAAAGAAAACATGAGGACCCATCTCACTACATAAAAGATGACGAACAAAACCAGTCCTCTTCTTTCCCCATTAGATCAACAAAACAAGAAAACAAAAAGGTAAACAACAATGATTTAGACCACTAAAAAATACATCACTAATAACCCTAATGCATTGGGAATGGTAAAAAAAAAGAAACAAGGCATAGAAAGTGGGCAGGGCCCACTGCCACATCATTAGTGCTCTCCCTTTTTAGTGCTCTCAAGCATTTTTCAAAGGTAAATCTACTTAGTGAGCACATATAGAAATTCTGCACAAAAGGATGGCATGGCACTAAGGGAATCTATCATGAGTAATCTATCTGTTCAGAGAAGAGATTTACATTAATGCGGGACGATTAGATAAGTCACCGTCACCAATGCTCTTCTCTTAGAATCCACTTCCCACTCCATCCTTAGTCTGATCCTCTGCAGTTACTTCACACTGCGCATGTGCAAATTCTTCCCCCATATGAACATCATCACTGCCACCAATGTTCTTCTCTGAGCAACCATTTCCCACTCCTCCAAACTCCGACTGCTTCTCGGGTATCATCACTTCATGCTTTGCATATACAAATTTCTCCATGCAAACATCCCTTGCACACTCACTCTCCGATATTGCCCCATTATCCTCCGCCTTCCCATCAATCTCCCCACCTTCTTCGTTGTTCTCTTCCACCACCTCCTCATTATTCCCCCCTGTTGAGAAGAGAAACTCTCTCTCCTCACTTTCATTTTCAGAAACATTCTCTACCACCTCCTCATTAATTTCTCCCACTGCTTGGTTCTTCCTCTCAAGATATTGCATCCTTCTCCTCAACTCACCCAACTCCCTCTCCATCAAGAAAAGCCGCTCCTTTAATATCAGGTTCTCTTCTTCCAGTTGAGCTATATGTGTATCTTGATCTTCCACCCGATTCTCCAAAACATTGTTATAATCCACACCATAGTTGGGATAAATCATCTCGAAACGGCTCAAATCATGATCCAATCTCCTCTCCACCTCTACATGCTCTTCGACATCACTCTCGCTTGATCCCCCCTCATCTTCTTCCTCATCCTCGTGTGCATCAGCATCATTCCCAGGTGATCTAAGCCTAATTAGCCCCTTCATGGATCCATACCCATCAACCCCCCACTCCTCCTTCGCCATGTCCCCCAAAACCTCTCTGGACGGCGAAAACATGGGAGTGGGAAGTACCGCCGGCGTTACAGGGCAAGGCGAAACCAGTGACGCAATCCCACCCGATTTCTTTGCACGAATAATAAACGAAGTGGTGTTTCTAGGAGCATATGGGGCAAATCTGTTATTAAACTTCTTCTTTGGGAAAAACCTCCGAGCCTTCAACCGATTCTGATGCTGCAACTCATTAAGCATTGGAGGCTTGTAACCCCCACCACCACCGCCGATTCCGACTCCTCCACCCACACCAACCCCACCACCACCACTGTTGCCGCTACCGGCAATCGCGGGCTTTTCCTTCCTCCTTCCATCTTTCCTCATATCGTTCCCCTTCTTCCCCCCCTTCCAATTGCGTGGATTCTTGAAACCTTGCTGCTGCTGCTGCTTCTGCTTCATAGGGTTTGGATACTTGTTCATCATGTCCATGGAAGACTGAGGCGGTGGTGGTGGAGGCCACATTCCGTAACTCCAATTCATCATCTGCGACTGGGCGCCCATCCCACCCTGAGTCGATTGGTTCATCATCAATTGAGACTGACTCATCTTCTGGTTCATCAACTGAGGAGGCAGAGGAGGCTGACTCAAAATCTGTACCTGTGGAGGCTGATTCAAGATTTGTGGCTGTTTCATCTGATCGTTCATTGGTATATCCCAAATCAAAACAATATAAAAACCAGAAACAAAACCCTAATTAATAACCCAACAACTTACTCAGTTACCGATTGAAACCCTTTATTCGATTCAAATTTTCAAAGAAAATTTATAGATTGATTAGTTTGGCAAACAAACAGATTGATCATCGATCGATCGATTCAATCTAATAAACGCCCACGAACCAAGGCGATTGTCGATTCTCTCTCTAAAACTCTCTCTCTCTCTAGAAATCTCGATTTCTCCAGAAAAATCGAATCTGTACGCTTGCGTATTCTGCTGTGGGGGCGGTTGATGCGCCCCCAATGCCTCCTTTTATAGTCGGCGAGAATGCAATGGACGGTGGGATCTTAAAGTTTGACATAGACGGCTGGGATTTAGGATAATGTCTTTTACACACGTCGCTCAGATCGGCATAGGATTGGGAATGGCGTGAAGGGTAACTGCCCAACATTCCCAGTTTAATTACATACCTGACCCCAGTAAAGAAACAACTTTAGCTCATAAAGTGAATTGGATCATATTATTGGATCCGTAAAATCTATCATTGATTTCATTTTTGATAATTAGGAGTTGTTTGAGATGTCTAAGTAAGTATTTTTTTTGATTCTTTATAAAATACAAATTAGATTTAGGTATAGTTTGAGAAGTTGGTTTTGGTGGGTTAGGAGTTAAAATAGTCACAAAAAAATAAAATAGACTATTTTAGTCACAAAAATAAAACGTCAATTTAACCCATAATCATTACACTCCTCTCTCACAAAAAAAGTCAGAAAAGCCAAAAAGTCAAAAAGCCCTTCTCAAACCAAGCTTTTTAGCCCCAGGCTCAAATAGCTAAAAAGCCAAAAAGTCAACCCACTTCCCAAATGGAGGCTTAAAGTGATGTGATAGAGAAGTGATGTGACTTAAATAAGATGATGTAACTTAAATAGGATAATGACTTTTTAACTTTTTATCTTTTTTAATATATGTCAAACAAGGCCTTACAATAATTTAATATATAAAATTCGTCGAGTATTTTATTTTATAAAAAATTATGTTAATCATATATTAATAGTTTCTTGATCGAATATATTTTTATCAATGATAAATATGATTTTAAAAATAAATTATTAATAAAAATATATTTTGATCAAATAGTTATCAATATTCGATTAATATAATTTTTTTTACAAAAATAAATTACTCGATTAATTTTATATATTAAACAATTTCAATTATCAATACAAAATACGTGATGGGTTTCACAAACATAACAGTACGACCCAATTTAAAGAAAAGTCTATCTCTAAAAAAAATCTCTATAATAAAATGTGATAAAATCTTAATAGATATTAGTTAATGAATGATGACTCAAAAACCTCATTTATGTGCAAGTTGCAAATTATTGCTATGTAAGAGTTGCTTAAGGATAATTTTTAGAATTTTGACTATTTAAGATCTAGCCTCAAAGTCTCCATTAGGTTCCCTTTATTTTTATTTTTATTTTTATTATGGCTCAAAAATCTATCTTATCGAATTTTTTTCCCCGAACGATCAAAATATTTGACGATCTTGTTAATTTGGTATTGAAAAAAATAAAATAAAATAAAAATGTCCAAGACATTTATATTTACAAGATTAAGAGTTATTTTGGGAACTAATTTTTTTATAATACATATATATATATATGCAAAAAAAAAAAAAGAATAGTACTTTTTTGCATTGGCTTTTGATTTTTTTTACTAAAACTTTAAATTTTCAAAATAGGGCTAAGTCTTTTACATTACATTGTCATTGACCTTTAATTACAAGTATTTGCCTCCTGCTGACTTCATTCAACACATCTGCTTTGTTTGGCATATTGAGTTTGAGCTAAAATAATTACAAAAAGACAAAATAGACTTTTTAGTCTAATAAGACAAAACATTACATTCAAACTATAATCATTTCATTTTTTCTCTCACAAAAGTAAAAAAAGTCAAAAAGTCTATCTCAAATGAGGCTTTCTAATCACAGGTTAAAATAGTCAAAAAGTTAAAAAACCAACTCACATTCCAAACGAAGGCCTTGGTAAGTTTTTTGTTTGGAGGTTTGAGGGCTTTGTTATTTATTTATTTTTCTTTCTTTCTTTTTATAAAAAATAAAATAAAATAAAAATGTCCAAGACATTTATATTTACAAGATTAAGAGTTATTTTGGGAACTAATTTTTTTATAATACATATATATATATATGCAAAAAAAAAAAAAAAGAATAGTACTTTTTTGCATTGGCTTTTGATTTTTTTTACTAAAACTTTAAATTTTCAAAATAGGGCTAAGTCTTTTACATTATATTGTCATTGACCTTTAATTACAAGTATTTGCCTCCTGCTGACTTCATTCAACACATCTGCTTTGTTTGGCATATAGAGTTTGAGCTAAAATAATCACAAAAAGACAAAGTAGACTTTTTAGTCTAATAAGACAAAACATTACATGGAAACTATAATCATTTCATTTTTTCTCTCACAAAAGTAAAAAAAGTCAAAATGTCTATCTCAAATGAGGCTTTCTAATCACAGGTTAAAATAGTCAAAAAGTTAAAAAAACCAACTCACATTCCAAACGAAGGCCTTGGTAAGTTTTTTGTTTGGAGGTTTGAGGGCTTTGTTATTTATTTATTTTTCTTTCTTTCTTTTTATAAGCTATGTACTTTTATTTTAAATTGAAGTGGTAGCCCACACAACACGTGCACATATGATATTTTGTTTTAAAACATAAGATTGTAAATTGTATGAATTCAAAATCTAAAGCGTAAAATGAATTTGAAATAATCAAAAGTTGAGATACTTGGGGAAAAAAAATTAGGTATTTTAGGAAAACAAAAAATATGAAATATAAAGTCCACGAGAAGCCTTCTCTTTATAATAATATATATATATATAGAAGATATATAAAAAAAAAATACTTGAAACATCTAATTTATCATTCTTAAAAATCACCCTCAATGATATGTCTTACCAATATCAAATTTTGATTTGTCAAATATTTTATCATGTAGGATCTAACATTAGCGAAAGTCTATAGTACATTTTGTTTAAAAAATGTATGATACATTGAAAATCAATGGCTCAGATTGAGCCACATCATTAAAAGTGACCTAGTAAGCAAGTCACTTTTTATAGTTATGAACCAAAATCATATTTGTTCATAACTAGAATCAAATTAATCATAACTTAATTATGAGCTCTCATCACTTATCTCATAACCATATCTCATAACCAACACCATTTTGTTGATAACCAAATCACATATTTCATAACTACAATCACATATCTCATAACTATATCTCATAACCAATATCCTTTAGCTCATAATCACACCACTCTGATCATAACCACTATCACATATCTCATAACTATTAATCACATATCTCATAACTACTACTCATATAGCTCATAACCACATCTTATAACCAATCCCCCTTTGACTCATAACCAACATTACATATCTCATAATCAACACCCTTTTGCTCATAACCACATCACTTTGATCATAACCAATATCACATATCTTATAACTAATAACCACATATCTCATAACCAAACACCCTTTTGACTCATAACTACATCACTTTGCTCATAACCAAAATCACAAATCTCATAATCAACAATCATATATCTCATAACCATTACCCACATATCTCATAACCAACACTCTTTGGCTCATAACTAACATCACATATATCATAACTACTAATCACATATCTCATAACACCCTTTGGCTCATAGTCACACCACTTTGATCATAATTAACATCACATATCTCATAACCATTAGTCATATATCTCATAACCATACCACTTTACTTATAACCACAAATCACATATCTCATAACCAACATTCTTTGACTCATAACCACACCACTTTACTCATAACCACTAATCACATATCTCATAACCACATCTCATAACCAATACCTTTTGGCTCGTAACCATACCATTTTGATCATAACCACCATCACATATCTCATAACCACATCTTATAACTAACATCATTTTCACCAATAACCCCTAACTTTGATCATAACCAACTCAAAACCACTAACCACATATCTCTATTTTAGATTTATTTACTAAATACAATAAAAAGGGTAATATACAAACAATATACATTTTAAAATATTTATATACACATAGACATACATATAAATAAGTTGACTAAATTTTAATAAAAAATGTGTTGAAAAATTTTATCTACGATTCACTACAAGAAAAGTGGGCTTATGAGACGGAACTTTTTGCGACGGCACAACTTGCCGTCTCAAAAAATGTGACTTTTTGAGACGGCATAACTTGCTGTCGCAAAAAAATGTAACTTTTTGAGATGGCACAACTTGTCGTCGCAAAAAATAGAGTATTTGTGACGGCAAAAATTGTTGTCGTAAAAAAAAATAGAGTATTTGCGATGGCAGAGATTGTTGTCGCAAAAAAAAATAAAGTTTTTGCGACGGTACCAGCTGCAGTCGCAAAAAAAAAGAAGAGTTTTTTGCGATTGTAATACATACCGTTGCAAAAAAAAAATTAAAAATTAAAAAAATATATATATATATTGTGGCTTTGAGACGACTTCATATATATATAGTCATAAAATGGTTTAAATAAATGCAACGGTATTTTTCAGTTACAAAAATAAATAAAAACGACGTCGTCTTACTCTTTTGAACATTTCTCTTTTCACCCATTTTTTCATCTTTCTATCTCTCTTCTCTCTATCTCTCTCACTCATCACTCTTCTTTGTCTGTCTATGTCTCTGTCTCTCTTCTCTTTCTCTCTCTCACTCATCACTCTTCTCTTTCTCTCTCTCACTCATCACTCTTCTCTATCTGTCTGTCTCTCTTTCTCTCTGTGTCTCTCGTCCATCTTTCTTCTCTTTATCTCTCTCATCTCTCTTCTCTCTCTGTCTCTTCTCTTTATCTCTCTCGCTCATCTCTCTCTGTCTCTCTCTCGTTTATCTCTTTTCTTTCTCTCTCTCTCTTTGTCTATATCTTTTCATCCATTTTTTCATCTCCATCTCTCTCTTCTCTTTCTCTCTCTCTCTTACTCATTACTCTTCTCTCTCTATTTGTCTGTCTATTTGTCTCTCTCTCTATGTCTCTCACACATCTATCTCTTCTCTCATCTCTTTTCTCTCTCTGTCTCTTTCGTTCATCTCTCTTCTCTTTATCTCTCTCGCACATCTCTCTTCTCTCTATCTCTCTCATCTCTCATCTCTCATCTTTCATCTTTCTCTGTCTCTCTTGCTCATCTCTCTATCTTTCTCTCTGTCTCTCTATCT